TTATTATTATTATTCCAAGCATCATCTCTCCAGTCCACCCAAGCCCCGCTTGCCCACAGCCAGGAGTCTGTTGACCCAGGAGGTGGGAGCAAAGAGGGTGATGGGGAGGGGGATGTCATACCCTGGGGTCGAGCTGGGTTGCTTTCGGGTGACTTAAGGAAGGGAGGGAGGGTGAGAGCCAGCAGGGAGGTGGGAAGGAGCCGGCGATTGCCCGAGCTGAGTTTTCTCCGTCTGGGCTTCCCCGCAGTGCGCAACCACGCGAAGGTCAGCCACTTCCGAATCTGCAAGAGCCCCGGGGGCAGCCTGTACATCCAGAAGGGCCATCCCTTCCCCGACATGGAGGAGCTCCTCGCCTTCTACACCCAGCACTGGAAGGTCATCCAGAGCCCCTTGCTGCAGCCCTGCAGCCCCGCGGTGCGTACGCCAGCGGCGCGGCCGAGGTCCCAGAGATGGCCAGGGTAGAAAAAAAGGAAAGAGAAATTAGGGAAAAATAGGAATAACCAGTCTGTCCATTTGGGATTGGAGCTTTATTAAACTAAATTTAAAATACACCATTAATGTAGCTGCTGGCATCACCTTTCATCAGCCGTGCTAAGGCCAGGCATGGCATTTACGTATATATTTTTTTTGACCAGCCAAAATGCACAGGCTTTTCTGAAATGTCTTCTTCATCTCAAAGACTAGAAACCATGTTCTTACAAATCCCTTCGATACTGAATCTGGAAATATCTGCTCTTCCAATTTTTCTTCTAGAGTTTAATAAGACCACATTGCTTTTATGGAGTTTTCATGCCAATTAGTGTGGCACTCATATCCAATTAGATTATTAATTCCAAATTGCCGAGTCATTTCCTGATTAGAATTCCATTCCCTGATTATGATTTAGAAATAACAATTAAAGATGTGAATAATTTGAGAGTGAAATTGGAAGGTGTAAGAGAAAATAAATGCCTAATGAGCTGAAGCCTAAATCAGCCATAATATGCAACAATATCCATTTACTCATTTTGATTTATTGGTGGAAATGGAGAAGAGCCACCTTTGAGGTCTGATGAAGAGGGAATTATGACCTGAATTCCTGATAGTTCATGGAGTCTCCAAAAATCTCCCTCCTTGCATACGCTGGCAATGCAGAAGATGCCCCACGTGCTTTGTGCCCCCGATGAACATTTAGCAAAGGGAAAAACAAAAACCCCAGTGCAAGGCAGATGCTGGAGCACAGTGTCCTGCTCACTCCTCTGTGGCCACCAGGCCTTGGTGGGCACCAGGAGCTGGTGCAGGCTCCACCAGCAGGTCCTGGTCCAAGCGTGTGATGCCCATTTCACAGACCCCCCCCGAGAGGGACGGCTGGGAGCGCCCGCGCTGGGAGTTCACGCTGCGGAGGAAGCTGGGCGAGGGCTACTTCGGAGAGGTGTGGGAAGGGCTGTGGAGGAACACGGTGCCGGTGGCCATCAAGATCATCAAAGGTAGGTGGAGGAAGAGATGTCATCGGTGGCCTGCTGGGTCTCTTGTTCACTGCCACATCGTTCACTTCTTTTTGTTTCCTAGTCGTCTTGGTCACTGTGACTGTGTTACCAAGCAAACTGTGGTAGGACCTGGCAAGTAGCCACTGGGCTACTTCTGTGGACCCACCTAAGCTTGGGCTTCACCTTTATAAAATGGGTCCATCCAGTGGGTTCGTGATAAGTCACATCAAGTCCAATGGGTTTATGATAAGTCCTGATGGGACTATGATCCAGAAAATGGGGTCCAAACCCCTGTGGAAAACATCTCTTAGATGTTTGGATGTGAGACACAGGGTGTGCAGACATGAACTGTGAGAGCAGGGGTGGGCTGCGAGGAGGAAAAGGGTCCTCATCCCAGTTGGAGGTGCTGAGCTCCCAACGTCCATGTAAGAAAGTAGCTCACAACGGCCGTGTTGGCTTTCTCCCCCAGCTGACATGAAGGCAGAAGACTTCACCAAGGAGATTCAGAACTTGAAGCGCCTGAGGCATGAGAAGTTGATCCAGCTGCACGCCGTCTGCTCGCTGGATGAGCCTGTGTACATCATCACGGAGCTCATGCGGAAAGGCAACCTCCACAGCTACCTCAACAGTGAGTACCCATGCCGGTACCACGGGGAGTGGGCTCCTGGGGCAGCACTGCTCTATGGATGCCCCAGAATGGTCCTACAAACCTGAGTGGGGACCCTAAGAGAGCACAAGCCTGGTTTCAGTCCTGTTTAGATTAGTGGTAATACAGAGCAATCCATGGGCGCTTGGTGGAGATGGTCTCGGGTGACCTAAAGGTGCAGTCTGGCGTGGTCCATGTGGGTTGGGTCCATACCAGTCCCTGAGAGCCCAAGCATGTTGGTAGGGACCTTCACCCCTTCTTCTTCACCCACCCCACTGCTGTGTTTGGGCAACTCTGCCTTCGTTAGGAATGAAATGGCCAAACCTCCCCCTGGACACAGTGGCATGGTCTTGTTCACATGCAGAGCTGGTAATATAGACCATGGTCCACTCATCACCTGGCTGTCAGTTTGTTTTTATTGGCCTTTCATGGCTGTGCTGAACTTTCCATGTGGCACAGCCAGGATGATTAGGCAGGACCTGAAATTCAAGGTTTTACACATTTCCCTGCTCCCACATTGCCAATGCAGGCCCTCCTTCCACACCAGAATACCCAAAACAGACATTGCTAGATTGAACCCAACGCTTGGATTGTCTGGGTTAACAGGTCCTGAAGGGAAGTCCCTGGGCACCTCCCACCTGCTGAATATCGCCTGCCAAGTGGCAGATGGGATGAGGTACCTGGAGGAGAAGCACATTGTCCACCGGGACCTGGCAGCCAGAAACATCCTGGTGGGAGAGGAACTCACCTGCAAAATCGCCGATTTTGGACTTGCCCGGCTCCTCAAGGTTGGTCAGTGGGATGCTGTCGCTCCAGGCCACCAAGCTGCCCCATGCTGTAGCCATTCCCCCGCCATGCCCTGTCCCAGCCCCAGTAAAGCCCCAAAAGCAGCGGCCATGTTCATCATAGCATCCCTCAGGACCCATCTCCCATTGCTTTCCAGGATGACATTTATTCCACCAGCAGCAGCACCAAAATCCCGGTGAAGTGGACAGCCCCAGAGGCAGCCAACTACCGCACCTACTCCCTCAAGTCTGATGTCTGGTCCTATGGGATTCTGCTCTACGAAGTCTTCACATATGGACAGATCCCGTACGAAGGTAGGGCTGCCAGCTCCCTCCAGCGCCGGTCCGTCCACACACCGGGCACCTTGCCCATGGTCCCCAAAAGCCAACATGTCATGAGTTGTCATATTATCCTTTCCACAAAGGATGTGGAAGGACCTCCAAGAGCAGGAGCAAGGTATTGCCCGCTTTGGGGGTTGCTTAGAGGGAGTTTTCAGTGTTTGCAGAGCAGGTGTGGGAGCTGGGGATGGGAAGGTGGTATGGGCTGGATGATCTCCCTCTGCCATCCTCGTGGCTGAGAGACACCATTTCCCAGCAGCACCAGTTGGCATCTTGGCCCATGTCAGGTGTACCTTCAGGACATCCTTTGGGGGCATGAGATTGAGGGGCATCTTCTCCTTCCTTGCAGGAATGACGAACCAAGAAACTGTTCGGCAGATCACCAGGGGCTACCGCCTTCCCCGGCCCAGCTCCTGCCCTCCCGAGATCTACAGCATCATGCTGGAGTGCTGGAGCGGCAACACGGAGGAACGTCCCACCTTCCTGGCTCTGCGGGAGAAGCTGGGCTTCATCTACAGACGGCTGCTCAGCTCCTTCTCCTGAGGGACCCCTTCGCACCATCCTTCCTGCACAAGCCCCCCTGGGCCAGCCAAGTGGCTCCTTCCTTCTGGTTTGCCCTCTAACAGGACTCCAAGGAAAGCACATCACCCCACCCCCCCCAAAAAAAATATCCCATGGCCCCTCTTGGTCAGGATGCAGAGAGGTGGCCAAGGGAAAAGGCAACCAGTTGTGAACTCATTGCCGGTGCTTGGCTGGGTAGCAGGCTGGAAAAGCCCCGTAGTAGTGAAGGCATCACCCAGAGTTTACATCTTCATCAGCCAGCAGGGTGGGAGGTCCCTGCCGCTCCCCACGCCCACGTGAAGGTTTGCAGTTTGTGTTCAGTTGTGTCTCCACTTGATTTTTCTCGTAGTGTGTGTCCGGTGTATTTATCAATAAATGTGTGTGCATCCATCCTTCCCCGGGAGTCCTTGTCCATGGGCGCTCTGCCCTCGCCACGCTGCTCCCCTCCCTGCCCAGGAAGCACTGGTTTGCAACAAGTCCCATTCTTGCAACCCCAGATATAACCATTTTCCTGTCTCTTTGGTCTCTGTTCAAACAGGTGGGCATTAAACCATGTGTCACCCCTTTCCCCAGCAGCAGCCCTGCTTGTCCCGAGGACCCTGCACAAGCAACTCCTGGCTCCTGATCTTGCTCACCATCGTCGTATTTATTCCAAGAAAAAAAATGTATGTCCGGGTTCAAATATTTACCACCTGCTTAGCTGGGGTGTGGGCAGCACTGGGTACAGCACCACTTCACCCTCTTCTGCTCCCCATCACCCCCAGGGTGCAAAGCCCAGGGATGCTCCCACCAGCTCCTTGCTGGTCCTGGGGTACAGCAATACAGGGGGATCTTGAGCCTCTCGTGTCCCCCCAGGCTCGGGGGAGCATTTGCTCCAGCCAAGCACCTTTTGGCCCCCCTGCCCATGCACGCTCTGGGAGGCAGGGCTGTCCTCGGCAGCAGGGGAAGGACTGGCTGAAAAGCAGCGCCGGGAGCATGGCCAAAGCCTGGGGCTGGAGCAGGGCTGCTGGAGCACTGACACGCTCGGGACACTGGTGGGGTGGGTGGGGGAAAGGCTGGGTTTAGATTTCCTCCTGACAAGCCCATTGTACCTGTTTGCAAGAGAGGGGGGTGCCTGGTAGGAGTGAAACAACAGCAGGGCTGGAGTAGATAAAGTTTATGCAATACTCGCGCCTGAGCAGCATCCGTGCTGTGCAAAATAGCAGAAATGAGTCTGGCTGCTAATTGAGCAAGTCTCCAGGGACGAGGGGCCTGGAAAGGGGAGGTGGGGATGTGTTTTCGCTCGAGCAAGGGTGAGGCGGTTGCTGAGCCCTGCGGCTGTGCCCCAGGAAGGTGGTAGCTCTGGGTTAAACTGGTCCCAGCTGGAAAAAGCAACAGGTTGTTTTTTTCTGTGGTGGTTGGACGGGATTGCAAGAGGAAACTCTCATCTTGCAAAGCATTTCACAGCCTGATCAAACACAGCAGAGAGCACACGTATGCACAGCCCAGGTCTCCTCCTACGAGAAACCAAAGCCCGGAGCCGTGTCCGGCAGGTGCTGGATTTACTCCACGCCAGGAAAAGGCAGGGACATGGCTGGTAAGCAATGCAGATATTAAATTTGCTGATCTGGCTGCCACCAGATGGAGCTAAAAATTAAGCAGGAGGAGAAGGGTGTGCGTGGGCCGATGGTGGGGCTGGCGTGGGGTGCAGTGGTGCACAGTGGGGTCCCCCGAGAAGGCAGCGGGGTGGCAGGGCTGCACCGGCCCCATTGCACCCGTGGCCCCAAAGCAGCTCAGTGCTGCAGCAATGCCACATTGGGGGGCATGCAGGGGGGGACATGGGGACACTGGCCAAGCCAGCGCTGCCCACAGCAGCTTTTCCTCCCTCTTCTGCAGCCACATTAAAAGCCGATCTGCTGCTTGGGGTTGCTCTCCAGGACAGTCTGCTGGGTTTGGGCATTTTTCGGAGTCATTACCTGCTTTCTAAAAGTAGTGGGAGTTGTGGGGGGAGCCCAGATTTTCCCATCTTTTCCCAGCATCTCAGCCTGGGCTGGGCACTGCAGCATCATCCCCCCCCCAAAAAAATCCTGATACAGGGACTGGGCTCTTCCCAAAATCCATCCCACAAAGGCCCCACTCCTTCCAAACCCCTCCGGGGTGGGCATTGCAAACACATGTTGCTAAAGGCATCCGCCTGCTCTGGTTTCAGCCTGGCATGTGCCCTGTTTGCAGATTCAACTTGACCGAGTGGCATTTGGAAACAGCGTCAGGCTGCTGCCGCGTGTTGGAGCTGCACAGTTTGTTCCTATTTTTAAGGTCCCGCGTTGGCCTTTGAAGGGTGAGGGGGAAGCAAAGCTGCTGGAGGTAAAAAAAAGAAAAATAATAATTCCTCAAGGAGCGAGAGGCAGGTAAGGGAAGATTTCTCACACTAGGTGAAGAAATTTTTTCAAATATTGGATCTAAACCTCCCCAGCACAACTTGGGCCATTTCCTCTTGTCCTCTCACTTAACAAGGGAAAAGAGACCAACACCCACAGCCGTGGGGATGGAAACAGCGCAAAAATGAACGCGCTTGGCTGTCAGATGTTTTTCCTGAACACATCTGAGTGCTGCCAAGGGGCAAGAAAATCCCCCGAAGCACCAGGCACCCCAAGCAACCAGAGCGATGCCAAGGTCTTTGCTCTCAGCAATGCCATGGAGCTGCCTGGGAGCCAGTCCGGGGGGAGCACTGGGCTCTCCTTGTTTTTTCCTTTGAGGAAAGCGCCCAGCTGAAAACCAGGGATGCAGGATTGGTGCCTTTCCTCTGCCAAAGCATTCCCGGGGCGTCTGGGGACAGTCGCTGGGTCTGACCCTCCACAATCACAAGCCCAACAAGCAAACACGGCAATATTGACTGTACCTTCCTGTGTCCACACTTTAATCTGCAGCCTCGGAAAAAAAGAGTCTCTCCAAAATCTGGGGCTTTGGCTGGGACCCAACAGCAGATGAGACCCCACTGCCCCCCCCTCAAAACATCCCAGGGATGAGCAGCATTTCCCAGTACCAGCCAGTGCTGCAGCCACCCTGCCCAGCTCACCAGCACACCTCGTCTTGTCCTATTCAGAAAGGATTTTTTAATAATTTTTTAAATTTTTGCCTGATTTTCCTGTGTTGTGTGAAGTTTCCAGGCTGCTGCACGCCTCTTGTGACACACAGCCACACGGATGCAGGTGCAGCCCCCCCCAGCAGTGCCTGGACCAGTGCTTCACTGCCTGCCTGGAAGTCACGTCGGATCAGTCACGGGGCGTGAGGTCCTGCTGGGGATTTGAGGTCACCCGTGGGGGTCCAAACCACGCACCCGAGGCTGCTGGCCCTGGGGAACCCCCCCCTACAGACATTCCTTTCAGACACTTACCCAAGGGGAGCGGAGGTCCCGCTGGGGACACAGCCTCTCCTGGGGACAAAGGGGGACACAGCCCCGCTGCCCCGAGGACAAGGACCGCTGCCTGGAGATGCACAGCTCAGGACAAAGCTGACACAACACTTCCCTACCCGAACCAAGGAGCAGAGCTGGCAGTGACCCTGGATGCCTCTGCAGCACAGACAAAAAGCAGAGCAGCCCCACGTGCCCCCCCGGCTGTCATCGGGGCAGCAGCGCCTGACGCACGCAGGGACTGTCCCGTGTCTTGTGCTGGAGGTGAAAGCAGGGCAGAGCAGGGAGATTTGGCATCCTTAAATCCCCCCATGCCAGGGTTTTGTTTGCCGCCAGCAGGAACTGGGACCTTGCCCCCTTGCACGCAGGTACCCGCACGCTCGTATTTTCTCGGCACTTCATTGAGCAGCACTGCCCAGCTCTCAGGCTGATCACAGAAGGGCCAAACAGCCACATTGACTAATTCAAGGCAAAAAAGCAGCCAAAACACCACCATGAGTATAACACGTGGACCAGCCCCAGTCACACCCCCCAAGCTACCATCAACGCCACGAGCTCCATCCTGGCATCAGACCCACAAAATGCAAGGCTGATCTCTCCCCTGGGTACAGAGGGCTCAGTCTGCACCCAAATCCTTCCCTGAGCCCTGAGCACACCCAGCTCAGACCCAGGCACTCGCTCCTACCCCCGAGGCACGGGAGCAGGGCAGGGATGTGCTCCGGGAGCAGAGCGAGTTCTACGCGGGCAGGGACAGGCTGTGCAGCCAAGTGAGAAAGAAAGGGTGGGGGAGGCGTTCCCAGCATTGCAGCCACGGAGCCGGATCTTGCTCACATGCAAAAACAAACACACGCACCCATGAGTCACGCTGG